GGGGATCCTGGCTGGCAGCAGCTCCCCAGAGCCAGGGCTGCTGCAACTGAGAGGCTCCAAACAGCTGTGCTGGGCTCTGGCATCAGCTCTGCACTGGTGCGTGCAGGCGCACCTCAAAGCAGGCGGTGGGGGTGAGGCCTGAGACAGCACAGCCCTGGTCTCTCCCCAGCTCCTGACACAGAGGTGATGAGCCCAGTGCAGCTGTTTGTAGCCAGCCCGGGCTCTGGGAAGCTGCAGCAAACATGACAAGCAAAATGCCAGCAAACATACCATTTTGCCGCAGCATGCCAAACAAAATGGCCTCGCATGTCATGCTCGGCACGCGTGCCAGGGGTTGCCAACCCCTGACCTAACCTCATCACCAGAACTGAAGCCAACTTCCTGCAGTTCAAAACACAAAATGTGCCAACTATCTCCAGTATCCCCACAAACTGCACACCAGAATCTATCATAGACAACAATACCCAACTACCTGTGGGGGCACATCCCTCACAAAAAAACCTGCTCTGTCTCCAATCTCTCAGGCCTGATCCCAAGAGGGAACAATTTACAAACCACTTTTCACAGTCGGGCCCATGAACTTCACTTCAACAGCCTTCTAGGTACAGAAACTCATGGACTCAATATAGATTAGACAGTGGAATTCTGACACTACAACCTGCTGGGCATCTGACTCCCCAGGTACCTCTGCACTTTTACCTGCACTGCTACACCCCAGGGCTGTCCCTCACCCCCTGACACCTCCATTTCCATTTTCACTGACTGGCTTTGCTGCCTGCATTGCATGCCAGCCTCTGGCCTTTTTACTATTCCTTCCATCCAGGAACAGCACACACACCAACTGCAGGTGCTTCCTCAGCCTGACGAAGGGTTCTCAGCCCAAAACCTGGCATCCCAGGCAGCTAAGCTGAGCTCACCTGGAGCCTCACAACTCCACTGTAACCAGCAAGCCTCAGGCCTGTCAAAGACATGATGGGTCTGGGCTTTCCCCAACCAGGACTGTGTGCATGCGTGTGGTCCTACCCACCTTTCACTGAGGGGATCCTTGGTCCTGGCATTCCCTGTAGCCCCTGTCCCCAGGCAGCTGGCCAGAAAGATGCAGGGCCCTGGGCACATCTAAGTCCCACAGCTGGGGCCGGCAAGGAGAGTTCTCTGGCAGCTGCTGGAGAAGAAACTCCTGCAGAAAAGGAAAGAAAGGCTCTAGTCTGTGACAGTTTGGCTGCCTGAGATGATGCTGGTGCTAGTGTGCTGCTACTAAGTTATTACCTGTTGTCATTTAAAGCGGTGGATTGGGCTGAGGCTGCAGGAGAGGAGGAGGTCTCATTGGGGCAAACTACTGTGCTGTGTAGAGACCCCAGCCGCAGTGAGGGTGCACCTTAACATACACACACACAGTCACACAGCGAGAGTGCCCCTTAACACACACTCTGGAGGAGAAGCTCCTGCAGAAAAGGAAAGAAAGGCTCTGTGACAGTTTGGCTGCCTGAGATGCTGCTGGTGCTACTGCGCTGCTCGCTAAGTTATTTTATTACCTGTTGTCATTTAAAGTAGTGGACTGGACTGAGGCTGTAGGGGAGGAGGAGACCTCATTGGGGCACACTACCATGTCATGTAGAGGCCCCAGCGCCAGTGAAATGGAAGTTGAAATGGAATGGTGCTGTTTCGCAGAGCCCTACTTCCCAGCCCCTCAGTGAATGGAAGAGGATATAACGAATTGGGAGCATATCTTTGGGATGTTCTGATTGTTTGAAGGGAATAATATGAAATATTGAGCTGCCTTGGGCTGTATTCTGGACACTTGCTGGATTGGGCAAGGCAGAATGAAGACGGCATGCACAAGATTTGCAAAACAATCCCACTTTTTCGGAATACTGTTGAATACATTGGATTAAGCCCAATTGTTTTACAGACGTTAATTAATCCTCCCAACACCCTTGCCTTACAGACAAATTTACAACTGGCTGCTCACTTCCAGGAAAGGCAAGTTTCTGCTTCTATTTTTCTCTTTTAAAATAATGTGGATAATAAATGTGTGGGCTTGTCAACACATCCACAAAGCTACTAAATGTTTCCTCTCATAACATGACTCTATGTGCCTTCAGTGTTGCAAGGCTTACTCCAGCAAGAATGCTGAGTCACATTTGCCTTTTGTTTGAAAAAAGCACATAGTTCAAGGAAGCCCATGCATTCTGTAAGACAGCATAGCATATGCTGTACAGGGCCCCACTGATCTCCTTGTTCATCTCTATGTGTTCAAGTCTGGTTGTGAGCTATGGATCCAATATTGATACCTTTGACAAATGCGTTCAGTGCCTTTATTTATAAGTATGGTTGTTTTGTATGTGCCTTTTCCACCTGTCTAAACTAAAATGACTCCTTCAGTTAATATTTTCCTCTTAGCATTTATATCTCAGCCAAAGATATTCATGCTTTCCACTTTATACCCAGGAACAAATTGAGGAACAAATTCAGTCAGTAAGAAAACCCAAGAAAACTGACTTCCAACTTCTATTATAAGCAAGGTATTTGGGGGTAATATCTTTTATTGGATCAACTGTGCAGCTAGGAGAGGTATTAGACCAGTGAGAGATGATTTACTTTGTGCCCAAAAGCTTATTTAACATTTCTCCCAACTACACAATTGATCCAGTAAAATATATTAACCCCCCCCCCCCCCCACCACCCTTACAAGACAAAAAACTCCCCCCCCCCCCCCCCCCCCCAAATCCTTGCTTCTCGCATATTCCCTGGACCATCACAGCCTCAACAACACTCCAGTCCTTGCTATAACTGTTACACAGTAGCATAACTTGTGGTGGGCATGCAAGGCACCAGCCCTAGGTGCCAACTTAGTGGAGCACCCGAATGGGTGCAAAGACACTGTGCTGCTGCTATAGTAGAAACAACAAAGGAAGGCAGCCTGTGTCATGGCGGCAACAGCCATGAGCAGGTAAGACTCCCACCACTCACCTGCTCTCCAGCAGGATTTTCTCTGCTAGTTATACTTCTGCTGTTATACATATGCTGTTTTATGGCACACTAAACAGATTACATATATTGCACAACTAAATAAAAGGGTCAAGTAGGCAAAAAACTACACAGAGGTGCAAGCATGTTAAGAGGTTTATATGGTCATAGATTTTTGATTGTGGGTGCCTAAATACTCCAGGACTTATGAATTAAAATTGCTAGTAGTGTCTAAGTGACTCAGAAGCCAGGGTTATATGCTGTGTCCCCAACATGTCCCAGGAGAGATGCACCTGAGGATACACTGCCAAGCCATTCCAACCTGCATGCTCCAAACCCATAAATGAGGCAGTAAAGTCAGTCCAGCACTGCACCCAGTGGCTTCTCAGTCTCTGGCATGCTTGAGAAACTAGGACTAAGGACAAATGTGAGGACAGCTCTCCTGTCCTGTTTAAGACTAGAGCTGAGTTAACTATTCATAATGATTAAGACCTTGAATAGTAATAGCTGTTTCTCTACAAGCCTTTCTGATTTCTGTGCAACCGTCTGTTGTTTTAAACTGTGCAGCTATTCGGAGGAAGGTACATTCTACTGCAGATGGTTGTGCAGTGGTATGTCCATAAGGACACCTTACCACTGGACCTGATATATAGCTAGTCAAATCAACAGAAAAAGTCCCAGTGACTTAAAGTGGGCCTTGGATCTGGCCTCCATCATGAATAAAATCAACAAGAAAAGGTGGAAAAGATTGCAAAAATATTTATAGTCCCTTTTCCCCAATTTTTGACAAGATCAAATTTATATTCCCTGGAAAAATATTTTCCGTATTCTC